CTCCGTGTAAAAATAAAGAAATCAAGTAAGACTTCACTAGCTGCGAAATCACCAACCCTGGTTTCCCTTATACGAGGATGAAGCAATCAGCAAAGTTTTCTCCTAACTTTTATCAAATTATAAACACTTTGCAGAATATATTTTATATATATATATATATATATATATATATATATATATATATATATATATATATATATATATATATTAACATTGACATAACAGAAGACTTTAATAATAATAATAGTATTCTGAAAATATAAAATAAATCATCATAATTGTTCCCAAATTCGAAATCAGAAGATTTTAAGAAAGTCTCATATTAACAACAAAACCTTCGTTTATTTTCTGCTGAAATATTTTTGTCCAATTCTATTAATTTTTACCCTCGGTTTGCTTTTTTGATGCTTTTTAAAAATATTGTACCGATTTCCTTATAAGTCAAATACATTTCATGCTCTTTAAAGATAGATTACCGATTTCATTGAGAAATTTCGAAATAAGACTGTACTTCAATTTTACCTGTAAATTTTATCATCATTAGTGAATTTATTTACTGTAGACAATGAATCCCTAGAGTACCTATTTTTAATACCCATCATCTGAAGTTACCTTTTGAAGAATTATTGTATTGGGCGAACAATTTTGGCTGAATCTTTGTTTCTCTTCAAAAATGTTAAAATAGTTTTCTGTTATTTTTTGGCATAAAGTTGATATTTTTAGCTGAAGAAAAATGATTAGATTTTTCACAGAATCACCCAAAAATTTTAATAATTACAAAAAGCATAAAAAACAATTGTTAAATGTGATTTCCATGTCGTTACAGTGCAGTGGTTGGAATGTCTTTTCTCAGGTGGCGATGCCAGTTCTCTTAGCTGATACTATCGTTATTCAATATCTGCTTCCGTCTAAGATTTCACTGTGTAATGTGTACATTGATACACGTAATCCCCAACCTCCCGATTGTAGGGAGAATGATCCGTTTTTCGATATATTAATTAGATACCCAGTAAATAATAAGTCTTCATATTTTTTTTTCTTCACTCGGAAACGATTTGAAAAATTTGATGTGGTGTGAAAATTAGCGAATTTTGCAAAATCTAAGATACTCTACAAAAGGACATAAATACTAGTTTAAAATTAAAACTTTTTAATTCATGGCCTCTATTGAGTTGTATTTTATAGATGTTAAACATATTCTTGTATGTATTCAATATGAAAACAATGGTGCGACCGGGTTGTCAGCAAAAAATAATGGAATCTGCTAAGCCGAATTGATTATTCAGTCTTCTTGCGTTCAATTCGAAATAATTCTTTGGAAAAAAAGACATACATTTGTAAACCACGTGGAGGAATTAAATGCCACACTTCTGCTTCATATACACTTGCATATCAGACACCATTTAGACAGAATGCTATCTATAAAACGGCAAGCAAAAATAATGAGTTATTGGCGAGAATGTTCAAATTCTTTTTCTACCAACACCCTGCTTCTAATTTCGTGAGCCAACATTATGACGTAGGGCGTATCTATCTATCTATCTATCTATCTATCTATCTATCTATCTATCTATCTATCTATCTATCTATCTCAATCAGTTCAAATCTATCTATCTATCTATCTATCTATCTATCTATCTATCTATCTATCTCAATCAGTTCAAATCTATCTATCTATCTATCTATCTATCTATCTATCTATCTATCTATCTATCTCAATCAGTTCAAATCTATCTATCTATCTATCTATCTATCTATCTATCTATCTATCTATCTATCTATCTATCTATCTCAGCCTGTTCAAAATCTATCTATCTATCTATCTATCTATCTATCTATCTATCTATCTATCTATCTAGTCTGTTAAAATCTATCTATCTATCTATCTATCTATCTAATCTATCTATCTATCTCTCTGTTCATATCTATCTATCTATCTATCTATCTATCTATCTATCTATCTATCTATCTCAATCAGTTCAAATCTATCTATCTATCTATCTATCTATCTATCTATCTATCTATCTATCTCAGTCTGTTCAAATCTATCTATCTATCTATCTATCTATCTATCTATCTATCTATCTATCTATCTATCTCAGTCTGTTCAAATCTATCTATCTATCTATCTATCTATCTATCTATCTATCTATCTATCTATCTATCTATCTCAGTCTGTTCAAATCTATCTATCTATCTATCTATCTATCTATCTATCTATCTATCTATCTATCTATCTATCTATCTCAGTCTGTTCAAATCTATCTATCTATCTATCTATCTATCTATCTATCTATCTATCTATCTATCTATCTATCTCAGTCTGTTCAAGTCTATCTATCTATTTATCTATCTCAGTCTGTTCAAGTCTATCTATCTATCTATCTATCTATCTATCTATCTATCTATCTATCTATCTATCTATCTCAGTCTGTTCAAGTCTATCTATCTATCTATCTATCTATCTATCTATCTATCTATCTATCTATCTATGTAACTTTGGTCATATCTATCTGTTTTTTCAATTGCCTAACCTTTGCTCAGTGTTCTAGCATAACAAATGCTGTTTGGAAAACGTGGGTAGGCAGTTTGCTTTCCGCCAATTTTCTAAATTAAGAATAACCTGTATAACTGGAAAATCCTTTCTTCGAAATCCCTGTTTTTAACTTAAACATCGACCGTTAATACTGGCAAGAAGTACGCAGCTATCAAAGCTCTGGCTTCTTAATTCCGGCAGGCATTTTAATCTTATTATCTATTTGAAATTAATTTATTTTTGCTTAAAACTAACAGCGTGGCACAAACTGTAGTGAAAACTTACATCCGATAATCTCGTTGCACTATTTTCTTCCCCTTCCTTGAAATAATTATTATTTTAACTTGTCTTTGAGTCAGTCTTTGCAAAACTCATGATTTCAGTGTTCTTTCATTGAAAAAGTGAAAGTGTTTCAATTTAATGTCGTTACGTCATTAACTACTAGCCAATCAGAATATGATCTCTATCCTTTAATTTTTAATTCTTGTTCATAGCTTGTTATTTCTATTCTATAATTTGAAAAACAGTGTAACTTTATATTATAGTCTTGCATCCTTATTTCCTCTATTTGAGATAGAGTGACATTCAGATGTTATGGAAACGGAATATATTGCTTAACTAGAATAAGCGAATATGCCACGTGTTAATCACATAATAACGGAATATCTCATTAGCAAGAAGGAGAGACCAGGCTAAAAATATATTGCTTTTTATATTTTTTGTCTCGTAATAAATTTATTTGGATATATATTTTTTACATTTAATGATTAAAAAAGAAGAATTTTGTCTTATATCTAGAAATATAACCAATAAGATTTATATGTGTTCGGTAGCTTAACGGTTATCGAAACGGAAATGAAATCGCCGAGTTGAGTTAAAATACTCGCCAATTCCGTTTAATTCACTTCGTTTTGGAAAATACATGAAGTCATCTTCCTCAAGTTATGAATAAAATAACAGTGAAGACTGGCTTTCTTATCTTGATCAGTGGAAGTCACTTCATGAGAAGTAAAACTCTAAATTCAAATATGTCAATTTGTGCGAAAGGGAGTTAACTCTGTTTGTCGATTTCTCGTTTCGCGCCACTATTAAACTACTTTAACATCTTCAAACTTTACTGCATTTAAATAATTACAATTAATTTGCATTGGTTTTAATGTTATTACTTTTGTCATCTATTCACTATTTCACAAATATACTGTCCGATTTGCCTTAATTTTTTCTGGGTAAGTTAAATATGTAATGAAGGCCCTTAAACATCCTGGGTGTGTTCAGAAAAATAGAATAACATTTGTATATATTTACATTAAAAAAAAATGCGGAACCATATGATTCACTCGTAAAAAAAATAAATAAATCTAATCGCCTACAAAAAACTGTCTTTAAGTTTTTTGACTTTTTGGATGACATGATCAACATATGGCGAAACCAGGGCAATTTACGAAACGAGCGCTTTGATTAGGATGTCTTTTTATTGATGCATAGTTTTGTATATGTTGATGGAGAAAGTTTCGATTATTATTGTGACTATTATTGCTGTTTTTATTTCTGCAAGACTTTGCTGAAATCTTGCTTCTAATGGTTCTTTGAAGATATGAATATGTAGGTTATGCGATATTTTCATTAATGAAAAGAGCAGCTTCCATATTACAGTTATTTTTTACGCATATATTAATAAGTACACAGTTAATGATGGCCCACCTTCGTACGAACACTCTAAATGCAATACATATTGTGCTGCAGGATGTGTAGGTAACAAACGCTTATCGGCACCGAAAATTGATTCGGCGAGCTGAGTTCAGATTTCGGCCAAAACTTCTGCTTTTACTTTCGGACAAATGCCTTTCTTGAATCCATTTATTGTCCTTCCTGTTATGAGCTAAATAGCAAGTGTTTTACTCTGCTATTTACCTCATCTATATGGGTTCTATATCTATATATGTAACCTATATAGATGAGGGGTTTGGGGATTACGTCTATCAATATGTGTTCTATAGACTTGCGTAGGAACCAGTTTAGACGAAGGACAACTTTGAATTCAAAACAAAGAAAGCAACGGAAAATAATATATTTTTCAAGAGAGAAATGGAAATTCACAGATAAGAAAAAAAATTGTAAAGAGCTATTATCGACTATGGTTTGAAAAGACGTAGTATTAAAAATTACATTCCATATTGTAGTGGTAATCTAATTTAAATATAAGTGGTTTGTTTTCTACAGATTATCAACCCTTTTCAGGTTATTTAAAACTAGAAAATATATTTTAGATTGTGGGAATTTTTTTGAGATAATTGTTTAGGGATAGAATTCTTAATAATTAACCCATAGCTGGGGAGAGAAGAGGTGGATTGATACGTTTTCCCAAGAGTATTTGTGCGTAAGCGAATTTAACGAACCCGACTGGAATTGGAACTCGGCTCTCCGAATAACTATTAAGAGCTATTATCTATTATGCCACCAACACATACAGCATCTGAGATTTCCAAACGGTCACCCATCTAGGTACTAACCAGAATCAACGTTGCTTAACTTCGGTGATAATACGGGAACCGGTTTTTCAATGTGATGAAGCCAAAGGCAATTTAAATATCCACCTTGTGATAAAGACAGGAGGTTGAGGTCGTCCATGTTAAGTTTGTGTGAATATTTCCTTTAATGACCACTACGAAATACAACTTTACAACACATATATTACAGTCTATCTTTGTAAAGGAATGTGAAAATGAGAAAAATATCCTTATCAAAGGGGTTCATTTATTTTCATCTTTGAGTCAAGGGGAGAGAACTCGTGCAAGTTGCGTTCGTTCATGAAATATTGCTAACATTCAACTGCAGTAGATTTATTAACATTGAAAATGTTATCCAACCTTCTAATGTAATACATCATCATTAGTAAGTGAATTACTTAGAGGTTACTATTTTTATGTTTTCAAGCGGCCATTGAGTTCTCTAGCTTTCAGGTGTTTACTGGATCCTTTAGTTTTTGATGGCTTAAGCTAAACTGATGGGAGAGATTTGCTGATGTGGGAGATAGTGTTCAGGTGAGAATCTTATTTGGTGTGGGGTATATAGATATTTATATAAAGAAACTGATTAAACAAATGAAGACATGCTGCTTATGCTTAACACACACAAACACACATCTGTGCATGTGTGTTAAGCAGCATATCTTAATTATTCTCCTTTATACTGATTCAGTTGTCTAATCAGGTTCTTTATATATATATATATGTATGTATATATATATATATATATATATATATATATATATATATAGATAGATAGATAGATATATTTGCTTATCGCCAGGTTCAAGCTCCTTCCTTGTCTTTTGAACAGGGGTAGAGGTTTATCACTTGTTTCCTGTTTCTCCTAAAGTCATCTGATTCTCTTTCACTCCCCGTAACCTGTTGAGTCTTAATGGCATTATCGCCTAACGAGGTATAATTATATATATATATATATATATATATATATATATATATATATATATATATATATATATATATATATATATAAATAAAAAGAGACAAGAGGAAAAACTATACTTAGTTGTCACGTTTCCTCCTCAGAAAGACTTTATGAAGGCGATGTAGGATTTATTCTGCTGCACGTGTTTATATACAGAGTCGAGGGTGTCATTCGGTTATCAAGGCTTATAAATAGGAGAATGTTCATGTATGTTCATCAAGTGGATGAAAGGTCAGCCAAAGCACGTGAAGGACACAAAGTGTCATAATTCATAAGTCGGGTAAAAAGTAAAGTGAGCGAGTAATATTCAATTATTTTCAATGAATATTGTTTAAATTGTGATTAGATTGTTATGGTATGAGATGGACGTTTTTGTTGTGCACATTCAAAGCCGGATGTGATGGATTTAACCGTTTTATATACAACAACAAAAGAAAACGCTTAAATACATCACTTCAGCATTTGAAGATATACGCCACAAACCTCCATCCCATAACATAACAATCTAACACAACCTAAACAATATTCATTTTAAAAAAATAAAACAAAATTTATTGAATATTACTCGCTCATTTTACTTTTTACCAGAATTTGAATTATAACACTTTATGCCTTCTATATGCTTTGACTGTCCTCTTAAACTGAATAAGCCTTGATAAACCAATGATATCTTGCATCTGTATATAAACATATGCAGCATAATAAATACTATATTGACATGACGGGTCATTTGAGTATAGTTATTCTTCTTGTTTCTTTTTATTCATTTTGTCTCTTCTACAGATACACTCTATCTGAGAGTATTTACACACACACTTATATAAGCTTTTCATCTCAGCTTTTCATCTAAATGCATTTCGAGAAATATAGTCACAAGTGGAAGACTCCGTTTTTGGTAAACGAGAAACTATTTTGACAAACAACAAATGATTTATGAATTCAAAATAAAGGGTCAAAATGCAACAAGGGTTAACATTTTAATGTAAAATTGGATTTTTAATTTGGTTAAAACAGTTTTTGTATTGAAGCAATGTAGAATGAAAATGCTATTAATGTTCATAAAATATTGCATAAAATATAGCTGAAAACTAATATATATATATATATATATATATATATATATATATATATATATATATATATATATAAATAGATAGATAGATATATATTATATATATAAATTGTAAAATTGGCTATATTTATAGGGAATAGTGGTTAGTATAAAAAATAAAGCGTTCATAAATACAATTAGAATGGACATAGGAATCAACGCTGCAAGGTGACTATCAGTTTTAAGACTGTGGCGATTTTCAGAAAATGGGAAGTTGATTCCTATGTCACATTATGTTTATAAATGGTCTAACTCTGATGATGACCATTTCATGCAATATATATATATATATATATATATATATATATATATATATATATAAAGTCAAATAAATATGAGTTTGTCATATTGATATCATTTCAGTTTATAAAACTATTTAGAAGTTATATCTTGAAAATTAAAAAAACAAAAATTGAGAGTCCTACGCTGCAGCATATACTAGCTTAGAGGATACTCCGGCTATATATATATATATATATATATATATATATATATATATATATATATATATATATATATATATATATATATATATTGACCACTAATATTATCTATTTATATATATACGTGTGTGTGTGTACGCGTATATATGCGCATAGGGATTGTGTGTATTTAGAGAGAGAGCGATAAAAAGTGCGGTCCATTCTTGTGTAGTAAGTATTGGGTTAGACTCTCAAGGCATTGGTGTAGGGCTCCAAAAGCTTTCACAGTTTGTTTTTCTGTTCATTAGCTCCATTCATACCCACCTACATCTATGCATATCTATATCACAATTTCTGAGCTATGTTAATTAAATCTCTTATACGAGGTTTAAGATATTAATACACTTAGCCTAATGGTTAGAGCATTAAACTATCATTAACGATAATTTGCTGACATTTTCATGTTAATAATTAAAATAGTTTCAAGCGAATGAACAGATTAAGGTCTTGTATCCTGTTCTTTTATTGTCCTTTCTTCTCACTAGTCTTCTCACTCTCTTTTACTTCCAGTAACACCCTACTGCCGTCTTAGTGGCATTATCACCTTTCTTGCAGTAAAATGATTAAAACATCTCTTAAAGAAGAATAACCCTCATTAGATCTCATAGACTAACACTACAGAGTAAAAAAGAATTTTATCAAATAAAAGACACAACATTATTTGAAGACTTTCAGCAACAGCTATAACTAAAATGCACTGCACGTGTAACCCGAAAAGAAAATAATGGCACCTGTGATTTTTAATTTTCAGTCTACTTTAAACAAAAGATTAGAAAAAGAAAACTTCATCAATACTATAAAGAGCTATAACATCTAGCGGACTTGAGAAACTATTTTTCTAAAAAATCTGTTTTAAGTGAAAGTAATAAAACAGTAATAATATACTATCATAGTTTTAGACACACTCAGTCCATCTCATATATTTGCTTAATCCATAGAGGAAGAGATTAGTGAAAGAGAAAAAAAGGGAATGAAAGGTGTGGGGATAGATAGATAGATAGATAGAGATACATAGATAGATAGAGAGAGAGAGAGAGAGAGAAAATATGCAGTGTAAGCAAAAAGAAGTAACTCCGAACAACCATGTTAATCCTCAACTAACAATAGTCGTCAAAAGATTAAGTAAATGGCTTAAATTTTTCTGCAATCATCTGATATAAAAGAGAAAGATGAGACCGACAGGTGTTTTGAACAGAAATGTTTTAATCATGTCAAGCCATCAGTCTTATTGGGGCTCCAAGAACCATTATTTTTTTCTCTGTTGTCGAATCTTATCTCCGGGTATTTTTTTTATTTCTTTATAGATTTGTGATTCATATATTATAGACTTGGATTTTTTCATCCCCCAAATTATTCTATGCTAATCCTTTTTCTCTTTTCCTATACCAATATCACAAGAACCTCAACAAAGTATTAGTTCAAGGGAATCTAATACTTATGCAGAAGACATTAGAATAATAATAGAATATCTAATTTATTATCAGTTTTATTATTGAAATATTTTATTAATGCTAATCGAGTAGATAAATTTGACAAAATCAAATTCGATATTATTCGAGGAAAGAAAATGTGTAAAATGATTTAGGAATCGAATATTTTATTATCTACACTATTGTTCGGACGGATTGTTTACATTTTCATCTTAGTTGCCGTATTCACAACGTTTCGGCCGTTGTACGCTTCGGTCTACTTCAGCTAATTGGAATTTCGAATTGAACCCTTTATTTCGTCCACTGGGGTAGATTGTTCTAGTTCCACGTGCCGTGCCTCTTGCGGGTGTCTTAGTATCAGTGAGCTCCCTTTAATTCAACTCTCCAAGTTTTTGTTCACCTCAGCTGTAGCCAGGTATTGAGTCAAGGTACTGCTTTTATCCAATGGGCCATGTGCCCAATGACTTCATCCAAAGAGCCCAATCCTCACTTTCCGGCCTTCAAAACGGAACTGTGAGTGATGAGTTTTCCAATCCCACAACCCTTTCTTACAGACCAAACGTCGAGAGCCTGTTTTTGTCTCGCTAATTCCCTGGAGGCGGATGGATTTTGGCAGCTATCCACAGCCCAATTGAAACTCATTTAAATGCACATTGAAACCTACCAAAGCCCATCCGCAACATACTTGTAGAAAATACAAGAATAATAACCTCATCCACATGTAAAAAATAAAGAATAAAATAATGGAAGCACTAATAATAAAAAGGGAAAATCGAATATTCAGTATGAACATGGCCACAATCCACTGGCCGTGTTTGGAAAAAGAAATCCCATCACTCGAGAAACATATAAAAAAAAATCCACATATTCATTTAAAAAAAAACAAACCAAAACTCATTGATAATGGCTAAGGGAATAGCCGAACGTGTTATGATAGATAGGACATTTGGACAATTTTTACACACTTTATGTCCAGAAAAGAAAACACTGATATATATAATTTGGGTGTGTGTTCTTGAGAATTTACTATATTTTGGGGGGAAAATTCCTTAATACTTATTCAAATTT